TGATCCTCTGCAGTGAATGGGTGCCGTCAGAATGAGAGTCCAAACAGCTGATAAAAACATCACAATAATCCACACCGCTCCAGTCCATCAATTAACATCTTGTAAAGACAAAAGCTGCATGTTTATAAGAACCAAATCTATCATTAAGATGTTTTTAACTTCAAAACTTGTGGATTATTGTGATGTTTTTATCAGCTGTTTGGACTCTCATTCTGACGGCACCCATTCACTGCAGAGGATCCATTGGTGAGCAAGTGATGCTAAAATGCAAAATTTCTCCAAATCTGCACAGATGATGCAACGATTTAAATTTTTGGGTGAACTATTCGTTCAAAGCTTTCTAGAGGGTCTCCACTTACTTTTTAGTAGTTCCTGGTCACACACACCAATGACAAAGCGTCTGTTGGCCATCAGACAGGAAATATTCAGCAGCGTCTTGTGGGCCCCATGCAGACGGTCAAAAGTGCCGCCAACCACCACATCACTGAACGTCTCTAAAGGTTTTAATTGTGCACCACTTCCTCCTCTATCATCATCTTCCTCGACCTCTTTTAGTCGTGGGCACAAAAGCACAGATGAGAGAGTTGGGTTGCAGACGTAGCAGTGACCCGCGTACTTCTGCAAGCACTGGGTGACCAGCGAGGACTGGCCTGAATCCTGGATGGGGTAGTCTGTCAGCACTACTTCTGGCGAATGGGACAGCGTCTGCGGGGTGGGAAAAGGGCCGCTGCTTCCGCTCAACGCCACAGATTGGGCACGGACGTTACTGAGCAGCACCCTGACGTCAAGGTGCGCGCAAATGTCAGCGGCATTGCTGTAAAGGCGGGAGATGAGAGTGCAGAGATCCACCACGGGTGGGATGTAGACGGGCCGCACCTGGCCACCTGTGCTCAGGTTGAGGCCGGGGTGGAGATGGACGTACAGTGTGCGCTCGACCACCTGGGCGGCAGACGTGAGGACAGGCGCGATGCGGAGAGGGAGGACGTGTAACGGAGACGTAAGGACCAGGATACCGGTGCTGAACATGGACATGATTGACAACTTTCTGAACTTAGACACTGAAAGATATAATACAGATCTGATTCAAATTAACACATTATTTATGCAGTTCCATAAAGAGATACTTATGAAAATGTATATCTTGAATGCAATGTATATGCATAAAAATCTGTTAAATGAATAAATGTAAATAAATATACAATTAGGTATGTTGGACTGTTATTTACATATGCACATATTGCAACTTTAAATTGTTTTAAGTACTTGTAATTTGTAAGTACACACATGCATATTTTTCTACCTTTTTTTATTATTTTGAGAATTGAGCTATAAGACAAATAGAATTCTGGTCTCCAAAGAGATTTGAAATAAGAGAACAGAACAGAAATATCACTGAATTTTGAAATTTGCACACTGATTAAGCTGTGCTGTATAAATAAAACCTGGCAAAAATAACTCTAATAATTAAAAAAAAAAAAAGAATCTATAAAAATATAGCTCTCACATGAAATGAATGCATATTTTGATTAGAACAATTCAATAAAACATGAGAAAAATTATTGTAATAATTAGAATGACACAAATTTTGATTAATTCGATTAAACCTGGTAAAAATTACACCAATAATTGAAATAAAAAAGAATCTTTAAAAATATAGCTCTTATATGTATCATGCATTTTTTTTAATTCATTCAATGAAACGTGACAATCATTACCATAATAATTAGAATCACACACATTTTATTTAATTCAATAAAACATGACAAAAAAATACCTTAATAATTAGAATAGAATAGACATATTGCTCTCAGTCCTGGAACTTTTGATTAAAATCCAATAAAACATTTAAAAAATTACTAATATTTAGAATAAAACGGAAAATAACAGATTAGATGAATTTCATACACATATGCAGACAGAACTTCATTGAATACTTTAATAATTTACAGCAACTACAGACGTTGAAAAATTGTTGATATCTTATATATTTATCCATAGATTATTCCAGATTAGCACAAAACAACACAGTTGATCCGGAACAACATACTGTAACGCCAGACTACTTTGAGCAAAACCTACCTGAGTATATTCTGCCGATCAGGATGTTGAAAAATGCTAAATGTGGGATATTATCGCAGAAGACAACTGTCTGGTATCAGTCTTCGTCATAATGACTATATAAAACACTAATGTTTTGCTCAGCAGAGCGAACTCACGTCCAGTTGACCGAGACGGCCATGTGCTGGAATACTGACTGATGATTGGCTAACAGAGGGCGTTCCTGTCCTAATGAATCATGGGAAGTGTAGTTTAGCGCCTTTCACTTCCTCCGTCCCTATTCAAACATGAACATTTCTCATCTTATCACTGTAAATGAATGAATGTAGTTATGTGATTGAATAATTGAGTGCCTTTGATATGAAGAGCACATTTTAACACATTTTACATTTGTGCCTCATGTTTTGTCAATTTGTTTTACGGTTTACATTAAATAACTGCATAATATTGTAGTTTTTCTGTACCAGATATAATGAAATGTATTCTTTTATCAGCATAAAAATGTTATTCCTGAAATAATCCCACTTTTCAGATCAAGGTCTAATGAGGGTAATTATTCAGAAATTCATTGAAATCTTTATACACAATCTCACAATTGCAATTTTTCAGGGCTAGAAACCGGAGTAGTTTGTGCAATTCATTCTTCAAATCTTCGTGAAGGCTGTAATATACTGTAAATATTTCATGGGAAGGCATTTGAAAGAATTTCTTTATGGCAGACTACTAAACAAGTATGAAAAGTACAGCTTTTATTTGACAAAATACAAAAATAACTTTTCAATTTTAGTTCAACATAAGTTCCAAAACAGTTAAACTACTCAATCTCAGACTAGTTATAAACTTTCAAGGATTCACAGGATCACTTCAAAGATATTTTTGCATTCGGGTTGTGAATGAAAAAAACACAACAAACAATGTCGGCAACTTCTGTAGCAGTGTTTCGCCTGGCAGGTCTAGACCGGGAGAATGACCCAGTTTTTTTGTTGTTTTTTTTTTATATTACAAAACTGCAAAGTTACAGCAATGTCTTCATGTTATGTCAATATATTTTCACCCCATTTCACACAATTTTAGGGGTGGCAAAATAGATAAGTATATACATTATATCTGCCATAGATAAAAACCTGGAATGTCAGTAGTAACCTGAAAAAAAAAAACCAGTAAATTTTTCTGTACTAGCACAGTAAGGCCAGAAACACACTCTATACAAATATACAAACAGATACAAAACTCATTGCAAGACCGTTGATAACAGTACTCAAGGGGCCGATAGAATTAACTCATTTTCTCAGCAAGTTTTCCTGCCATTGCTAATGACCGTTATCACACCCCTCACTGAGAATGCAAAGTGTACTTGCATTGCAGTATTAAAGATGTGCCAAATTAAGCTAGCTAGACTGCAAAATTGCACATTTGTTTTCAGGCCTAAAAATTCAACACTTAAAACACTTTTTGCAAAAACACATTCGTAATGCAGTAAACCTCTGTATCTGATATATAAACCATTTAGAAGTTTCTACAAGAAGTCCCTCATGATAGCTTGGGCATTATTTTCAAAGAAAAGTAAGAAGTTCAATAAAATGCCAGCTGTTTTCTTTTCTTTTCGACTGTTAGTTGGACACCGAGTTTGATCCTCAAATACATTGTGGTCGTTGGATCAAACAATTTATGGTCAATTTATGGTCTGAGGATCAAACAAATTCCCTTCATTTTAGCCTTTTCAGAGTATATGGGTAGTATTTGAGGAAGGTCCGTCGTGCAACCTCATATGTGTCCCCTAGTGGTTTGGACAGATATTTCCTCTGGTTGTAGACGAACCCTTTCTCAACCTGGAACACAGCCTGGTTGAAGACGTCCTGTTTGAAGGGTCTTCCTCTGTCCAGACACTCCACTAGCGTATTAACAAACAAGCCCCAGCGCTGTAAATAATAGTCTTCCACTAGACCGCCCCACTCCTTGCTGGCGTAGTCCAAGATTTCCCCGTCGGGTCCCCAAAGGGTGATCTGATTTCGTGCATCGATATCATACAGCTGCGCCTCATGCTTGTCTACACCCTGAGACTGAGCCTGCTCAAGCCAGACTCCCAAAAGGAAGTGTTCGTTGCTGGAAAGGAGGCGGTCCAGCTCAGGTAAGAGATCGTAGACAAGCACACCACCAGCGGTCAGGAGGTCGGGAAGCTTTTGGGCCTGAGAATCATACAAATAAAAGAACATTTCAAAGCTGTAATTTTATACACAGTATAGTTGCAGTCACATTTACCATTGTTCGACAAATTTTCATGGGCGAAATCCAGTCATTTCAATAGGAATCCATGCAATTGGGAATTTCGCACGAGGCAAAAAATGTCCCCAAGCAGATTTCGTTGGTCATGGGAATTTGGCGTGTTAACCACGCCAACAGAAAGCTGCTTGGTGTAAAAGTGACTTTTTCGTGAGCTGTGCTTTATAAATTGCTACACGTTTTTGCCGACAAAATTTCACCAAAATGTTGCTAATACGACTGCACCTTAAGGGGGCTTTCGCACCAGCACTTCAGTTCAAAACAGAGCACAGTCCACGTACCGTGGTACCAATCTAACTGTAGGAACTGGTCTGAGTTTGGTTATAATGGGACCGTGGTGTGATTCGCATCAATATGAAAGCAATTCGAACTTGGATACAAACAACAGTGAGTATGTAGTGCAATCGTGTAGAGCAAGTGCAATTAAAGCCGCAATTGAATGGCTCGCAATAAATTGTCTCCTCAAAAGAGTCCGATTTTCAAGAAGCAGAAAGCTGCCTTAATGTGACGCACATAGACGCAAGTATCGTTCAATAGCACCAAATTAATAATAAAACACAATATATTGGTAATATGCTTGTTTGTGACACAAAATGAAAGCAAATGCACCAAGGTTTGATAGAATCAAGCGATTCCGAAACCAGACCAATGCCACGGGGGAAGCCAGGAACAATCACACTTGGATTCGGACCGCAGCAAACGTGCCCAGTGTGAAAGCCCCCTAAATTTTCAAATCTAATTTCAATTTGTAATGTAGTTTAACTTGTAATCTAGTCTTCCTGTAGCTGTACAGTACAGTAGAGCATGGCGCTAACAATGCCAAGATCATGGGTTCGATTACTAGGGAATCAAGAACTGAAATCTGAAATAAAATGTGTACCTTGAATAAAGCGTAAGTTGCTTTGGATAAAACCTTTATTTAAAAAAAAAAAAATGTATAGAAAATGTAGTAGGACTGGTTTGCTAGTTCATCGACATCAGACATAACTCTTAAGTTTGGGTTTACCTGGAAAGCATTTCGTATTTCCTTGTAGAACTCAGTTGTAAGAAGCTGAAGCGCTTGTCGCGTCACGTCCACAAGATCGTACCGGAAAGTTTCCAGAGTGGCTAACCCTGGCGCGGCTTCGAACAGAAGCTTCCATGCTTTGTAGAAGTCAGTCGGTTCGTACCAAATGTCTGTTTGCATCCGCAGGGACGGACGATGTACCAATGGACTCCGGTTGTGGTTCTTGTATTGCAGAAGAGTGCAGTTATACACACTATGAAACAAGAGTTGCCAGGCCGCCGTCAGGTTCTCATCCATACTGCCGTAGCGCCGCAGGGCGTACAGCGACACCCACTTGGAAAGGTTGACGGGTTCTTTGCGCCAGGCCAGCTCACTCATAAGTTCGTAAATGACTGGATTCTGTTCGATGCCTTCGGGAGTCAAACCCAGACCCACTAGGGTTGAATTCGGGAAGCGGATGGCATTGAAGGGGCCGGAGTTAATGCTTTCCACCGTTCCAAACAGACCGCTATTCCCTCCAAAGTTGTGCAGCATGCACCAGATAAACGGCTGGCCGTAGAAGGAGTTTGTGGAAGAGTAGACAGGCATGGATTCAGCAAAGAGATCCAGGATAACCATGCACCCCAGGGGGACGCCGTGTAACAGTGCCTTGACCTGGTCTGTTTCCAGAACGAAGGGTTACTGATAAATAGCCAGCCCTGCATCAGCCAAATTGCTTGAGGGTCCACTGCCAGCGAGAGAGAGTAAAAGGAGAGAATAAGAGACCAACGCATCCGTGTGAGCAGTTGTGAGGGCAACGTGCCTCATCCCATCACGGGGTTTGGAACCCCAACTGTGCCCCAGAAAATAAGCGGGTCATTTGTGGGTTTTAAAACTAAAGCAAATGCAATCCCAAAGAAGCATGAGTAAACTCAACATCTATCACGTGAATTATTTCCCACACTAACCAGAAAGGGGTAACAACGGCATAGTTACCTGAAGTCATAATTGAAAACGGCACGGCTGATCGACGCCAGGTAAGCGGGGTCCGAAGAGGCTGGGACCATCTCATTAAAGGTGTCGGTGTTGTAAATGTGGTCTGTTCCGAACTCCTTAATGACCTTGGTCAAAAAGAGCGCTCCTATTTGCTGGAAGAGTGGGTCGCGTGGGTCAAGCACATAGGCGGAGGAGTAGGTGCAGTTAAAATGGCTCCAGGGGTTCAGCTTGGTCACATTTGCTTGGGGGAACAACCTAAAAGGCATTGCTAAATGTGATTACTCCAGTCTTCGCTCTCAAATATCTGCTAAAGAGAAGGAAATAGAAGTGATGTGTTCTTTGCACATTCTTACTGCATTGGCCATTTAGATACATTTAGAAATTTAAAAGCCATAAAAATGTGCTTGATAACCAACACCACTTTGAATTTCAAGATTTCAAGATTGAAATCTACACCAATTAAAAATCTAAGAAATCTACACATTTTGAGGAATATTACCTGGTAATACCTTCAGGTACGATTCCTGAAAAAGCAGGCAATACAGGTATCATCCAAAAAGATCTCATGCGGTCCAAGATTTTAAACTGGAGGAATAAAAGGTACACTTTAAAAAAAAAAAAAAAATTGTAATAAGAAAAAAATTAATGCAACTAGATTTTTACATTTTCTGGTGCCACTTGCTAGTGTCATCATAATGCTAGGGTGTTGTGGGTGGTTGGAACGTGTTGCTATGCAATTGCTATGTTGTTCTGAGTGGGTTTTAGCACCTTGAATCACATAAAAAAAGCATTTTTTTGTATGACGGTCTCTAGATGTGACTCGGATATATTCTGGACTCTGGTCTTTGATATTCTGACCTTTAGATATGACTCATGTCTCTCCCTTAATGAAAGGCTATGGAATTAATTTAGCCACTTTGATCACTTG